TTCCGTAGTTATTTTAACTTCAACTTCGCAAAAAATGCCATCATAAGGATTCTGAACAAGAAGATCGATGTGGGAATCGGCAACAAGCAAATTCCATTTTTCATCAAATCCAGCTCAATGTTTTCGTTTGCGCTCGTCTCGGGAAGCTGACAGAGTCTTCGTTTTTCAATCGATGTATAACTGCGGTTGAAAGACGGCTGTCTTCAGTTATTGAACTAAAAAAATACTGGCGCAGGATGGAAAATGCCGTGAACAAACCCGGGAATATAGTTTGGCGTCCACTCAGATTCCCGACGACGCATTCGAATCCACTGGCGTTGAAGTGTTGATTTCTTGGACGAAAGAAATGTATGAAAAGTTACGCCTTACTTCTCAGGATATTTCGCTGTTTTTTCTTTTTAATCGAACCCAAGGAATAGTCTGGGGCATTACAATGCCAGTTAACCATTTTGACCAATTCTTGCAAAACGTTTGTAAAAAATAAGACTTCGGCAACAGTAACTACTAGTATATTGCTTACAGCAGACGCCGCTCAAATTTCAACCCCACCACGAACGTTGAACGGACTGTCATCCGGGTACTTTGAGAACGCCCTCTATCGAATTTCGTGAGAAAAATAGTAACTCGGAAATTAGGAATTGAGCTGGTGGTTTTCAAAAAGAAGTAGAAATTAGAATTTTTCACCAAATTGACCAAGAATTGAAGATACTATCACAAAATGAAAAAAACTCAGAGGTCCTCCAACGATACCTACATAGTTTTCACAAAGATGTTGAAAATGGAATTGTTGGATGATGACAACCTATATAAACAGGTCTGTATGTTAACTGTAAAACAAACTAGTTTCAACATTTATGTCAATATATTGAGCTATTTCATCTCACTTTTTCATCATGAGTGATTGCTAACATCTTGCCACCTTCATCTATATTAGATGCAGCAGTAGAGCCTGATTCGCTGATATCTTCTGGCATGTACGGACACCATATCAGTCTGTGATGCTTACTGGGAGCGGTATCTGTGGGTCTCATCACAAGCAAGCGTGCCTGGTAACTGATTATGAATATCAAGGAATATTAGCATAATACCATCAGTTATTGTTAATATATTATTATAGACTGACAGGCTACCATATTGCTTTTTTATAGTGCGCCCTCCAACAGTAGGTGATAAGGTCAGGGGTCTAAGGTCAGGGGTCTAAAGTCAGTGATCTTGGAATCTGGACGTACGTTTGTTGTTGTACAATAAAAATATGTGTTTAAGCAATAAACGAGTTCTACAAAACACACATTATAGATTGAATGGATAACAGCAGTTTTAGGTGAATTTTTATTTTGATCCATGCAAGTATGCTGACAAAATGAATATTGATGTATACATGTAGTATCAAAGTCAGCTCACATGACCTGTATTTGTGCTAATGGGATGTAGAAAGGTAGAAGTGAATTTTTGTTACAGCCTTCCTGCTGCGACAATACTTTTATTGCACAGCCAACTGTCTAAATGTTGTTTACATATGCATAGAAAGATGTGTAGATGTTATTTGCATACAAAAAGTAGCCATCAAATTCTAACCTGCATTTAATTAGGTACCACCAAGTCCAATTTTGCTCATTAAATTATTATGCGAACTTAATGAACAAATATGATTAATTTATTTTAACAAATAATACCATGGTATAAAGTTTGCTGATACGAAAGGATACAGTATTTTACCATCAGTTTCATAAAGATCCCACACAAATAGATTTCCTTGCTCATCGATGCATGCTAATGTATTCGATGTGATGTGAGCGAATGATAAATCAACCACTATACCAACAAAACCCTTCAGAAGTACTCTCTCTGAAGTTTGGGAATTGATAACTCGAACAACATAGCCGGTACGACCTGAAAGAGAACAATAAATAACTTGTTGAATATAGAGGTAAAATGTTGTTTTTATTTTATTTGTTCAGATACATATCGTGCTTTATTTTTAGAATCATTTTAGATTAATTGGTGATGAGTTCAGGAAATTCAGGAAAACGAAAGTGCAGGGATATGTTATGACCTCTTGCATAGAGGATAAAATTATATACTGTAAATAACTTTACTTTCACTGGTTATGAATTAATTCCCGCTATTTTTACTGAAGGAATGATTCAGTGAAAATTTAATCCAGCAAATATAATTTTTTTCCCTATATTTTACTTTCAATTCATCAATAATAAGTGAAAATACAAAACACCCAAAAATTCTTTTCAGTGAAAATTAATTCTAGCTAAAATAAAGTATTTTATAGTATTGTATTTTTTCCATAAGTTATCACAGAGGTGTGTCTAGGATAATATTTTTAATGTTGTAATTTTTCAAATCTGTGATTTAGCAATCCGCTGACCAATATATACACCGTCAAATGTTGAGAGTGTGGATGAGTAATGAAAAATTAATAGCAGAATATTTAGACATACACTCTATTGAGAAAACTGCGATATGTATGTCTGTGAAGCGGTCTCAATTTAAGACCGCAATTCACAGGACAAGTTTACAAAATCATGTTCCCACCCACAATTTGTGCAACATGTGATTATATTAATCATAAAAATTGATACTGATTTGAAAAGTGGTCAGTCAAAGGTCAACAAAATTAAATACAAATTCACATGCATATATATAAACAATCATTTGTTGTCTTTGTACCAACTTCACACAATTTCATTGCATGCTTTTTAGAAGATGTCGTCTTACCTTTCAATGCATATGCAATGTACGTGTGGTTGACTGCTACTAAATTGCCAGTATAGTATTTTTGTTCCCAGTCATAGTTTGTAACCGGTGAAATTTTGACCTGTAATATCAAATAAATACTAATCAGTCAACAAATCAGTGTAATGTTAATAGACAAATTGGATTCAATTTATAGGACATGATGTGTCACTAACAGTAAAATAACTACTACATGTACAATGTATGCAACAATTAGTTGATATATAGATAACCTACTTTATTACTGCCGGCCGTAGTATTAGTAACTGATGACGCTTGACTCGCTGCTATATTGACTTCCCTTGCGTATATTGGTATACTACCTGTGGCATCATCCCCTTCTAATAAACTAAACAAAGAAGAAATATTTAAAATACTACATTAAAATAAATTTTCAAAATGTTCATCAATACTGTCTTCCTACCTTGTTTGTACAAATGATTTCTTCAATTAAACTTAATAAATGCAAAGTTTTTTTGGAAATCCAGGACTTTGATACACTGGTAATTTTTGTCCATGTCCTTTACAATTTGCAATTTGTAAAATATTATATATTTAATTCCAAGATGTTTTTTTAAATCATACATTCATACAGCAACCAGAGAAGACACCTGGGAAACACAAAACTCATCTATTTTTCACACTGCAAATTGTTCAGTGGTTTGGAGACAAATAGAACTTACATTTGTTGTCTGGATACTATTTCACCAGCGCTTCTAATACCGGAACCCATTAACGAGAAGCCAGAATCTCCTCCTCCACTCAAATGTAACTGTTGAGATGATGATGTTCCATTCACAGACGCACTGTTTGATGACCCAGACCTTCAATAACAGTTATCAAAAAAATATAAGCATCAAAGCAAACCAGTCTATATAAGTATTGACTGTACACCCACACATTTTTTGTTCATTAACAATAATTTTACCCATACTGCAATGTAGTTTTTTTTAAAAAAAAACAAAATGGCAGCAGTAGACCATCTTCCGTGCAGATCCCACATTATGCATGAAATTTAACATAACAACAGTACAAACAAGTCATTGAAAATGACACAGTCCCCGTTAAGTTCTCTTTGTGCTCGTCATATTAAAGCGGAGAGCGTGTCCTTAAAACTTGAGTTCCAAGTGGCGTATACAACAGATTGTTTATTTACATCAAAACACGTGTTTCGTGTCATAGTAATATGGTCAAAATAAAAACTGCCGTTATTCAGCCATCTTTGATCTGATTATGAAACACAGTGATATGTATGATGTATGTGCCAAATACGAATGAAAATGGTACATAAATTGTGGAAATATAGTAGTAAGGCCAAAAAGTCAGATGGCTGTCAATAGGCCATCCTTGACAAGATTTTGAAACAAACTGTCATGGACATGCATCCTAACATGTATAAAGTACATGTATGTGCCAAATTTGAATGAAAACTGACAGAGCACGTCCAAGATACCGCATAAAAAAACAAAAACAAGATGCCTGCCAGTCGACCATCTTTGATCCAATTGCAAAATAAATCGTCATGGACATGTATCCTAACATGTATAATCTATGTACCAAGTTTGAATGACAACTGACAAAGCATGTCCAAAATACAACATTTTCAAAAAACAAGATGGCTGCCAGTTGGCCATTTTGAATCGAATCGCTAAACCACTGCATGTGCATATGTCCCACATAAGGTACTAGGCACATGCAAAGAATGAATGGAATCGGTCCACAGGATTCTGAAATATGACGTTGGATAGACTGACACACGGACAGATGGACACACGGATGGTCGGACGGACAGACTCAGGAACTCACGGATGGTCGGGGACATGTATCCTAACATGTATGATCTATGTACTAAATTTGAATGAAAACTGACAAAGCACATCCAAAATACGACATTTTCAAAAAACAAGATGGCTGCCAGTCGGCCATCTTTGATCAGATTGTTAAATAAATCATCATGGACATGTATCCTAACATGTATAATCTATGTACCAAGTTTGAATGAAAACTGACAAAGCATGTCCAAAATGCAACATTTTCAAAAAAAAGATGGCTGCCAGTCGGCCATTTTGAATCGAATCGCTAAACCACTGCATGTGCATATGTCCCACATAAAGTACGAGGCACATGCAAAGAATGAACGGAATCGGTCCAAAAGATTCTGAGATATGACTCCGGACGGACGCACGGACACACGGAGACCGAATTATAAGTCCCCGTTTTCGGACTTCGTCCGAACGGGGACTAACAAAGGTTATAGCATTACAGTGACGTCAAAACCCGACAAACGTGAATGTGTACATTTTGCGTATTTCCATGCCCAATAATGTGGTATACACATTTGATGAGAGTCAATTTTAATGAAGTAATGCCATATTTTCTTATGACAGATCAGGCATTTTGACATTGAACTATTAAAAAAAATTTTAGTTCAAAATCCAATCGTTCAATCTACGTCTTTCACACATTACACGGGATCTCAAATCACCTATCAGAGTTACCAGTGACAGGAAATCATGATGCAGTAAATAAGGGGGATTTGAGTTTTAATACACAGGAAATTAAAGCAACACTCAAACTTTAGGACACTTAATCAAGTTTGATTCTAACAAATGTAAAGGTGTTTGTGGCCAATAAAAAAATGTGGGTTTTGCAAGTTTTCATCAGCCTTCGTCAACATTTTAGGTTTGGGAAACAACGCAATGAATTATGGGAAATAACATCAATCTTTTTGTAATGGACCATCATCGAACATGCACAGTGGGTGAACTGTGGCTGCAAATTTGTTTTGCACACACCAAACAAACAATATCATCGGCTGCAAGCAAAGTTGCCTCCAAATCTGATAAAATCTACTGGCATGGTTGTCTTGTCAGCCAATTAGGTGACTACATTCCTGGCTTGGTGGATGAAACATATTTGTGGGAACAGTAACAACTTATCTTAGCATGAAATAAAAGATCAACAAGGACACTTAAACTGAGCCAGTACAAACTTTGCGTTTGAATGACTGCACAGGAATAAGTGATAAATTTGAAAATTAAATAAACCATGTGAATAAAGTCAGTTTACAAACATGGGGCCCAGGGGCACCGAAGTCCTTTGGAATTAAGTAGAACTTGGGAAGCAGACATACATGATTTTAACTGCTACTGTTCAAGATTCTGACTATTAATATGTTCAAAATTCAGCAAGTAATCTTCAGATGAATGCAAAGAATCATCTTTGTTACCCAGTATACGTACACTGCTAGTCTTAGCACAAGTGCTATCAACTTGCTTTATATTTAGTTCCATTCAATTCATTATCAAGTACATTATCACGTTCAGTGTCAAGTTTATTATAAGATATATTGCAAAGTAAATTATGAGATTCATTAGTAAGGTTATACCCTCAATTTTGCATTTGGGACTGTTTCCTCATTAATTTGCGTGACTCTTTTTTTGTGA